AGCGTCGCAGAAACGTTTCACTGAGAGAGATTCAGCAGTATGTTTATTTTGCAACCGTTGGAAGTTTTCTTTCGCTGAAATAACTATTTATACAGTACACTTTATCCGAGAAACATTCTAGGAACGTCTTTTAGAATGTTCATAGAATGTAGAGATGTCTTCTAAACATTTTTAGGACATCCGTTGGAGATCTATATATACTTGTATGAATATTCCTGTAAATCAATGATATATAACCTGAAGTCTATGAGTCGGATGACATCCATCTATGATTTTTTGTGATCATTAACTGATAGTCGAAAATATAAAATCATATACAAACAAAATATACATTATACGGTTCAAAAGATTTTATCTATTTCTAAAAATGACCTTCTCAAAGTGACCTTTAAAAAAGGTTGCGTATAACTGCTCTAGACATAAAAGTAAAATCCAATCAAAAAACGCGAAGAAAACGTTTTGCATTAAATATGACCATTCTGAGCGCCATGCTACAGAAAAACTTATAAGCAGTAAGACGTAAAAAAAATTAACATGTTGAATTTGCTATTGCTTATGTTATGGCCGTACAGTCTCTACTGTGATTGATTAATTCGCTTATTGCTTACGTTTTACTGCTTCAGTTTTTTGCGTGTTATAACTCGTACATTGTGTGGCTACTGCGTTTTCATTAATATAGATAAACTTTAATCTCAACATACGTTTCATTTTTTTTTTAATTTTTAGAACTAGAAAAAGATGAAAAGTAAATTGAATCAAGATAAAAAATAATCTACATTGATAGGCACGGTATACATTATTTCTGTACGTTAGAATGTCCGATCTGAAGAAGATCGCAGGGTGATGATTATTTAACAAGTTTATTATTTTTATATAATACAACTTTTGCAATTGTTTCAATAATGATCCCTTAGATCTTCATCTGCTCGTCCAACCATGGATTGTCCTGGATATGCCCAGGATATTTCTTCTTATATTTCAAACCAGTAACGAGAGTGGAGCTTTTCGGGAACGCCGTTTTGCCGTTGAACATCGAGTCGGTATCTGGAGAGAGAAAAAAAGGAAATTTTATCACTGTACAAACACTGGCCTGTGGGCCATTGGAAAAACAGCGTGACAGTTCTGTAAATTCCGTGGGATATCTCACCCGGATGGAATCGATGATAATCCTGTTGGATGTGCAAATTCTTGGGCAAATCCATTTTACGCAGCGCTTCGTATGGAGTCGTGTTGTCTATCGGTGTCGAATAAAATTGCTTCAGATCCCCTATGTATTTAAGATTCACACTTATTTATTATTGTCGATTGATCGATGCCGTACGTCAGGTTGGTGTAAAATATTCGTCATTTCTTATCATTGAGCTTTTTGTCAAAAAATAAAAGAAAACCAAAGTTTGAAAGAGTGGGCTCGGAAGATGGATCTTTATATATTATTTTATTATTTAAATAAATAATATATTATATTATTATTATTATTTAAATAAATAAGAGAGTGTATCAAAAGGTGGCCAATTTCGATATTGCTTGGGAATGTCTTTTTTTTCAGTTGATAAGTATGATGAATCTTTGACACTTGATAGGTCGAGAAACTTTTTTGTTTGCCAACCGATACTCTCGATGGTGTAAAGCAATGAGTTGGGGATAGAATGCTTAAACTCCCTCTCGCAGGCGACGAACAGCTTAAAGCGAAGAACGTGATCCTCGAGCTTTGTGTCATCGCTCACGGGGATGGTTTGATTCTCGCAGATTCTGTCGATTCTCTCGGCTGCGTTTTCCGAGGGTTCGTAAGACTTTTGCGATCTCAGAAATCTGAAAGCAGATATACGCAATCGCCTCACATCGTAGATAATAATTCGGCGTCACAAGATTTCTCGGTGTGAAACAACATCTTGAATAATTTATGTCTATTTCTGTCTAATTTATTTTCTATTTTTTTAGAACTAAAAAAAGAAGGTAAAGAGTAAGTTGAAGCAGGAAAGTTAATTTACATTATGAAAATGGACATTAAAACAAAATAAATTGAATTCCGATGGTTTTTCATGATGATATCCAATACCTGTCCAAAAGAAAATTTCAAAATGAGGAGTAAGAAGAAGAGAAAACGATCTTTTATTATTTATATCAATGGTCTCGTCAATTCGATTCTTGGCGAAAATAAAAGTCAGAGTGCAAATTAAATGCAAGGGAAGAATAACAGAAATAAAGAAATAAACAAAGTTTCTAAAATTGAGACATCAAAATATTTATGCTTCTGCATTTCGTTGGATCAATTTTCATCTTCTAGAAGGAATCGATTATGTATCTTGCAATGAGGTGAAAATTTCACAAGTAAGCAAATTCATTAAGAACTGACCAAATTATAAATAAAACTGTATTCTAGCAAATTCGCTCATTTAATTTTATATAATTTTCACTTCGTTTTAAGATATATATATATTCGACCTCTAAGGAGTTAATTATGAATCTTGAAACGAGGTGAAAATTATAAAACTAAGCAAATTTACTAGGTGTCGATCAATGGAATTATAAGCGTTTTAATAAATTCGTTCACTTTTGTAATTTTCACCTCGTTTTGAGAAACAATTGACCTGAAATCCAGACAATTGAGAGTGAGAGAGAGAGAGAGAGAGAAAGAGAGTAAAAAAGATAGATCTCTCCAAAATTGGCCAATGATAACTGCCAGGACCTAAACGTTCAGGACTCGCGCACTTTTCGCAGGAAAGGAATTTTGCTCTCTTTTTCTCTCCCGCGCGATGAAATTTGTCGTGACGCGTGAGAGGAAAGGACAAAGGGTCCTGAAAGAAGGGCAGCGGTGCAGCCCGCTGACCGTACGGTGCTGCCATCCTGCGCGCTCTCCTTCTCTCATTGGACGGCGCTGAACATCGGCGTATTCGGGACATTCGGGTGCCCCGCACCGAAATTCGCAAAACGACGTGGCTGCGGTTCGCTTTCGTAAACAATAATCAATAATCAATCCTGGTATGTCGCGGGTACCGTACGACGCCGATCGCGACCGCCTTTTCCTCCTCGATTCAACATCATTTGTTCCAGGAGAATCGATCTTGTCGATGGCGATCGTCACGGATGACCGAAAGTCACTCCGTTGATTAATCTGTCTATTAATCGAGAAGGGGAAAAATTTAAATGAGAATCTTTTCCGCGATTATGTATACACGGCGACGAGTACACCGCGTTCTTGGAGTCGACAAACCCAATCGTATCGGAATCGTTTCCTCGCATGTTTCTTCTACTATTCGATTTTTTATATGAAAAGAAATGTAATATTTTTCTGTTGAACTCGGCCCTTTTGTCTACCGTTGCTGCGTCACAGCGTCACCCGTCCATCTGGCGCTTTTGAAAACTCGCGGAAATTGCACGGTCAATTTTTCGCTCGGTAACTACTCCGTTTCTATCAATGTAGTTTAATTTTAACCTTGATTCAACTTTTTATCCTTTTCTAGTTCTGAGAATTAGAAAAAGATGAAAAATAAGTTGAACCGAGATTAAAGTTAATCTATACTGATAGAAATGGATATAAATCGCGCACAGCGGTATAGAAATATAGATAGATAAATAAAGGCGTTTATTGTTGTACGGCAAGCTATGTAAAAACATAGAAATAAGAGAAAATTATGAAAACAGAAATGTACAATTAACAAAGATAATATAACAAAAATAAATTAAACTGATATTAAAAGGGAAAAAAAGATTGACGAATGTAAAGAAACACTAAAAACGTAAATATTCTTTTTCGGTCTTTCATTTTTTTCCTTTTTTATTTTTATTTATTTTTCGTATGTTGCGACTTTAAATCGGCATGTAGGTCGGACTTATGTCCATTGCTACCAATTTAGATTAACTTTAATTACAATGTAATTTATTTTGTATCTTTCTCTAGTTCTAAAAATTATGCCCATTTCTATTAATCTTAATCTCGGTTCAACTGACCTTATCTTTTTCTAATTGTACAAATTAGAAAACAATAAAGAGTCCGAGATTAAAGTTAATCTAGATTGATAAAAATGAACATTAATGGGTCTTTCCCCCTATTATAAATTAACATTAATCTCAATTCAACTCACTTTTCATTTTTTCCAATTCTAAAAATTAGAAAAAGATAAAGAGCAAGTTGATCCAAGATTAAAGTGAATCTACATCGGTAGAAATGGACATTAAAAGTCAAAGCGCGACGTCACGGGGG